GATTTTTGGCAGCCATTAATCTCACCGGAAGCGCGGAAGGAGCGCTCGTGCCAGTCTTTCTCCGCATCACACATTGGACCAAGAGCGGACTGCCCGTTACACCGCCCGGCCTTTTTCCGCCCTGCTATTAACACTCCGCAAAACAAAACAAAAAATTGCTGTTCTGTATGCACGTTTTGGAGTTTCTCAAAATCATGCTGAAAATTCGTTTGCTCGCTCTTTCGTTCGTTCGTTCGTTCGATCGGTCGGTCGTTCGGTCGTTCGGTCGGTTGTTCGCTCGTTCGTTCGTTCTTTCGCTCGTTCGTCCGTCCGTTTGGTAGTTCGTTAGTCAGTCAGTTAGCAGTATTCTAGCTTGTCGCTTCAGGCTTTGGTTAGGACAAAAGGGCTCCGAGAACGTCGGTTTACTTTAGAAAACAAAGATAGCATTCAACCAGCCTTGATTCTTATTCTCAGCAGCTGTTTTCAGTTTATTATCAACCAACATAAAACTTCTGGGAACTGAGCACAGTCATAAGATACCTTAAGTTCGCAATATTAGACATCATTAAAAATATTCCAAAATTATAGTACTCGTGTTTTAAAATCTTTAGTCTCAAGCTCAAAAAACAGTAATATAATTCACGAACTCGCCACTAGTCTGCAGAATTCAAAAGCGTACATTTATCTCTCTAATGAAAAAGTTCAAAATTGAAATATATAAATAGCCCCCAAAATATTTACACCGGCATTATTTCTGTAATTGGTAATAATTCCAAGCCGACTAAAATGCGGCCGATTGTGGCTTAAGCCTACTTATAACACCAAGAAGTGAAATGTTTAATTACGTTTTGGCAGAAAATTAAATCTTTGGGGTGTAAACAAACCTACGGAAAAAGGGGTAAAGTATAAGCATTGATAAACTTCCTGCACGAAAAGCTCTGATTAGCAACTTAATTTGCTTTCCACTACGTGGGTTTTTGATATTCGCGACCAGAAACTTGCTTAATTTATGGGGAACTTGAAGAAAAATTCAAAAATAATTCGATAACATAAAAAGAGAAATGAAAAAACTCGTCCGTCAAATGATACAAATACAACAGTGTTAGAGACAAAAAGTCGGGTGCTTTGCATTTTTGTAAAAAAAAGCAACAGCTGCAAGCATAAATGAAACATGTCAGAATACAAAACTAAATAAGGCTTAAAAAGAATAAATTAGTCTCATTTCTGCAATCACGATTAGATTATCATGATTATCGCATCATGACTATCACAATTCAATTATCACTGAGTCCATGGTTATAATTATTACTGAAAAGACGGTGAATTAATTTTCGTCGCCTAGGTATGACGCGCTCTCCTGCATTCCCGCCAAAAGTCTGTCAACCAAAAGCGACAAAAACGCGTCCATTGGGTCCATGGCCCCACGCTGAGCCCACTTCGGAATGGTCAACTGCGCATGCGAGAAACCGAGCTTCTGAAGAACCCAGTCAATGTTAACTGGGTCCATGTTCTTCCCAGCCCAAGACAAGAAACGAACTCGAGGCTCTAGTTTCCAGTGCTTGCTCCGGAACTGACGTATCCTCTTGGCTTCCGGTTTGGGAGCTTTCTCTCTGTCTTCTTTTTCAGTCATGCGCTCTTTGCGGACACGCGAGGGTGGAGACATCCCCCGCGGAATGGAACCTAGGAGATACAAAACAAAACTGTGTTGAAAACATTCGCCACATGCACGTTAAGGTACACGTCTCTAACAACTGGCCACCCAGTAGGCCATTTTACAATTGTGTGCTTTGTTACCTGGCCTATGAATGCAAGCGAGCCTGGAGGTGACCTTGCTTTGATAAAGACCTGAGACCTCTCTGCTTTTCTCCTTTAAACGCCAACTAGTTAGCATAAGAACAACTTGATTTACACAACAAAAGCAGTGAGGTCTGTATCAAAACAAGGTCTCCTGCAACCTCGCTGCCATTCAAAGGCCAGGGGCCCGTTTCTCGAAGGTCCCGAAAAGTTTTCGCGCCCGGAAAGCCGTAGCAAAATCTCAAACCGTATGATTACAGAGCTCTTTTATTCATGTATTCTTCATATGAACTGAGGTTCCCTTCATACAAGAAGTTTCAGGCGTATACACTTCTTCGTTTTTAGATACTGATGAACTAAAAGTTTCCGGGACTTTCGAGAAACGGGCCCCCAGTCACTGAACAGAGAACTGTAAAATGGTCTAGGAGCACACACTGTGTGAACCATGTACAGGTACAGACAAAATTAAAAACTGCGTACTTCAACGCAATAAACAGGAGTAAATATTTCTTTAGACACGCACCTGAAGAGGTGGTCTCGTTCTCTTTTATGTACGTCTGTACCACGTCATGTAAGAAGAATAAAAGGCCCACATCTACCGTAACACAAAGCCCATCATCAAAGGTTGAGGTCAGGGTTGTCTCCACTACATGTGGGCTTGCCGGTGTCACAGGCAGCGGCGTGACTGACGGAGCACTGGTAACGCAAGGAACACATCTTTAAGTCAAAAGGACTGTTTTTATTTGACAGAAGTTACTGCAGAAAACTACTTAACTGTGTTGAGCTTAGCTTTCTTACCTCTTTTTCTTACAGACCCAATTGGATGCGATTGAAGTCATCGGCATATCGTGTTCAGATCGGAATTCCACCTCAAACTTTGGAATCGCGAAGATGGCCTCCGTCTCGTGCTCGTATCGGAAGCCGGCCGTGTAGCTCGATCGTCGTTCTTTCGACGTAGCTTTACCAGGGCCAGTCCCAGATTCCGGGCGATCACGAGGCTTATCGAAACTTGAGGGCGCGGTGGAATCGGTCGGGCTTATGTCCCCTCCGGTTGCACAGACGTAGTTAAGCCAATCTTGTACCGTGCTGCCCATAGACGGGGGGTTCCTCCTGCCGCGAGCAACCTTTTGAATGATTCCGACGTGTGCTGTGAAAAATGTAAACAATGACGTTTTCATTTACCAATAGTGATTAACACGTAATCTCTCCTGACAAAATCGATAAATTGTCTAGCAGACAAGTGAGGAGAATAACGTATTTCATCATCGCGCGTATTTCTGTATTTGCTTTGCGCGATGATTGTGAGAGCAAAGGCAGTCTCGATTCCGGGGGGATTACCACATAAAGAGGACGGAAAGGCTTGTAGGAAATTTTTAAAAGAACTCCTACGAGGTACCAAGATGCTGTTTTGTGGGCGTGGCTTGAAATGTTTCCCACCCCTAAGAGGTACCAGTTCTAAAAAAACCATTATCTCTTGTCATATTTTTCTGAGCTCAATACTTTAAAAAGGTAGCACAAAAGCTNCCCCCCCCCCCCTTAGACGCACCAATACTGAAACGACAGATTAATTGACACTTTCATAATTTTTAATAGTGATAAAGACGATTGTTTCGAATACCTTCCACTCGTGAAGTTGATTTCTAATATCTCCTTCATATTCTTTCGCGCTCAATACTCTAAAAAGTGCCGCAGAAACTCCCGTTATCGACCTTTTGAAGTTGAATACCCTAAGACGAACCGAAACCGTTTTTTTTAACCCCTCAAAAGTACGACGAGCTCTCCCGTCCTTTTTATATGAAAGTCCCTCCCCTCCTGGGGGATCTCGATTCACTTACCTGAGGAAGGCGACAGTTTCCCACTGACCGAGTCCTCCGTCCCATGACCGAGCCTAAGCGAGAGATCCTGCACGGCTTTGACGCGCCTCACCTGACAACTCTTCTCAACAGTGCACACCTTACTAGTGAACGTCATGTAAGGTCTCTGAAGTGTGAACAAGACCCAAGACTGAGAGCGGAAGTTTACTCCATGGAAGCAAGCCAGAGAGACGGCTTTGCCATGCAGGGCCAGACTGCCTCCCAGTAGCACGCCTCTCTCTGGCAGGGGGCTGCTCAGGACACTCAACTTGAGGCTTCTAACGGCGTTTAACACTTTACCCCAGTGTTGATACTTCAGGCCTGTAAAAACGAAAAGAGAGAAAGGTGAATGGCTCTAACCGGCCGTTAATTTCAAAGAGCGATATATAACAGCTACTTTAAATAAGGTTCCTTCTTTTGAACTGCAACTTATTCTAGCAGCTTCATTTATTTAAAATTTAGCAACTCTTTCATTAAGCGATTTCTTTTATTTTGAAACTGATTTTTCGCGATCTCAACTGAAACACCTAAACAATTTTTTAAAAATTTAGAGGGTGCCCGAAACTCGAAAAATATAAATTTTGCTAGAAATAGTCCTCTCAACTTCTATTAAAAATATCAATTCATTTACAAGCAGACTGACGATATTGCCTTACATTCTCAAAACGAAAGGTCTAATGAAATATACCACAGTCAGTTAGGAGATTTAATAGTACTTCAAGCCTGGAACTAAAGTAATTCTTCTCTGCCACAACAGTGAATACAATATGAAACCACAACACTAACCGTCTTTGTTTCCTTCTTTGCCGGCGGCTGGCGATCCTGTGGAGACTGGTGAGGACAGTGATGACATCACATCGCCAGCGATGTACGTGATGTGAGGCCGCAGAGAGGAAAGTGCCCGGATGCTGTTTCTGTGTTGCTGGGCAACAAATTCTTGAATCTTTGCAATCATCTTAACCATGTCAGGGGTAGTGGAGCGACAAATCATGATCTTGAAATCATTCCACGCCAGGTCACCGTGCATGTAGATTTTAGCGTTAACTGGCTCACGCTCCTGTTCGAACAAATTATCTGCAAAAGAACGAAAAAAGACCCAGTTCATTTTAACACAAAATCAATAACAACGGGAAAACGTTTGTAGAGTATCATGTGTAAATTATTGTAGAAATCAGTCAATTACAAGGAACTGTTCTGTTAGACGGCTGGCAGCCGGTCTTTTCTCTTCGGATCTAACGAATGATCATCCTCGAAGCGAACGCAAAAGGGTGGTCTCTATGGAAGAGAAGGTGTTACGGCATTTCGTGAGTGCCTCGGCAATGTCTTGTCCAAATCCTTTTTCGTCAGGCTAAAGTGTCTCGCATAATACTCTCTATTTCGAGAGGAAAACAGACTCCCAGTCAATGAAAATTCTGATCAAAGTACATGAGGTGAGAATAGCTTACCAGTAGAAGGACTCGTCGTTTCTTGCAGCGTCCACTCATCGTGCAGGTCTGTCTTGAATGCAGACAGGTTTCCCATAAGTATACATGTTCCCATGTAATCAACACGCGCCTCAGCGTACCGCAGGCTCAAGTGGATCAGGTGCTGTGGATTACAGCCTCGCTCTTCGTTGATATCAGCTGGAAAAAATAAAACAAAAATAAAAACCGTGTCAGCGACACAGCCGCACGGTAAAGCAGTGGCGCGCAGATCAATTATTTGCCGAAGCCGAGTTGATCTGCGAGACACCGAAAAATCACGACATTTTGCGACAATCGAGTTCAGTAATTGTTTTATCACTCGATCACCAAGTTTGTTTTCATATTTAAATCCCTCTCTGACAGCTCAGGGGAGCGATCTGCCATTTCTCACACAAGAGGGTGGTTACAAATACACATGAATATTATTCAGTTTTCAGCAAAACACATTTAGACGGTCACACGCATTAGCAGTGGGCAGTTATTTGCAGGTCACGTGGTGCGCTCTCGGCCAATGAACAAGAAGAAATGCGCCGAATGATCATTTCTCGTACCTCGCATCTTGAGCTCTTGTATTTCAATATGTCCGCCAACAATCCCGCTTCGTGCTTCATAGATGGCCTGCCTGACACTGGCTGAACCCTTCAGTTCACGACGACCCGTGTTAGTGAGGGTCAAGTGGCACTGGGAACGAAGATCACTGGTGCTCCAGCTGAAAAAAAAGTACAGTTCAACCCCTATTAAACGGACACCCTCGAGGAAATAGATAGTGGCCGCTTAAAGGGAGCTGGCCGCTTAATGGAGGTACAAACAAAGCCCCTCATCAGGACTTTGATTACTGGCCGCCTAATAGGGGTGGTAGTTTAATAGGTGACCGCTTAATAGGAGTTCGACTGCAAAAACAACGGAAGAATAGTATTCTTAGACCAGCGACAGGCCAATTTCGATATATTAAAATTCTAAGTTCGATTCAAGGTTAAGAGGAATAGCATAAATGATTTTTTTCATGAACTTCGGTGCGAATTTTTTCGGTTTAGTCCACTAAGCGTCAGAGCGATGACAGAATAATTAAAATAATGTGAGTAAAGTGGAAGAAACCATCCATTTTATGCCTGGATCAATGAAAATTTTAATCAATAGCATAAATGAGATGAACAACAAAATGTGCACGCAAAAGAAATTAAGCTGTAAAAAGATGGAGCATGATCTTACAGTGTCTGTCCCATAACACTGCCCATATTTGTCGAAATGTCAAGTCGAGACAAATTCACAGCCACAACCACAAAAGTCTCCCACTTGGACCTAGTCCCTCCGAGACTGGACGAGGAGGAATGGCTCAGAGGTCCGTCAACTTCCGTTTCTGATGAGCCTTCAATGACTTTTAGATGCGGACGTTCAGGAATAGAGTGCTTCCTACCATCTGAAACGGGACATAGATTTTAATACCGTTTATTTGTCAAACTTTACAATGCGACTACACGAACCGGATCACTTGGAAAAGAGTTAACCAATCAGAACGTCACTTGAGTACAAAGGATAGTAATCTTTTTCTCAAATAAACCGATAACATTGAGCAACACGAACATAAAAACTCAACAAAGTGCGAGGTGTTGCAAACCTCTCAGGAAACTTTGCCATTTGTTGATTGGTTAGTTTCAATCCTAAATTTTGTACGCTTTTCAATAGTTTTGATATAGCTGTCGCAAAATGAGTTTTCAAGCTAAATTTTTCGAGCAAGATTTATAATTATGATAACTCGCCGTCAAGGACTGAATCTCTAAGAGTGTATGTAACACAGAGGAGTCGACAGTGTTATTGTTTTCACGCCAAACAGACCGTTGCTTGCCATCATGAGAAGCTAGCAGTCTTAGGGTCGTTTCCATTCTCAGTTTACGTTGTGATTGGTCAGTTTTCTTCTAGGTGGCCTGGTTCGAGTAGTCGCACTGTAAAGAAGCTGCGTCGCAGAAGTGAAAAGCTAAGCCATAAATGTTTCAATTTTGTCACGTAATCCATCTCAAGCTTTACCATATCCCAGCCATCCTTGTCTCTTCTTATTTTGTTTTGTTTTTATTTACTCTTTCGTGTTTTTCTACCTTAGTATATAATTATTTTGGGATTTTCTTTCGTTTTATGACAGACAATGTCACAGTCCCATCCATATTAAACATCACAAAGCCCAGGAGGGTTGGGAACTTATAGAACCTCCTTTGACCTCCTTTCTCCTTCCTGGGGAGGCCGATGATCGAGATCTTGAGAATCAGATGCAGGATGTTTAGTTGGCAAAGAAAATAGTTGTTACCTTTCAAGTTACCAAAAAGACAGAACAGAAACAAAAAAACACACGCTCCTCACCTGATACTGAAGACCGTCTTCTGGTGTTCGAAGGCGAGGCTACCGAGGGACTCAATAACCCATGCCGAGTCCCGCTCATGGTCATGGACCGGAAGAGACTGGGAGAGGTAGGAAGGAGGCCGAAGAAAGCACTGCTAGACGACGCCACTTTACGATGACCTGTTGAATTACAACAATACGAAATAATATATAGGTTTAGCCATGCCTAAAAGCGGAGCTCATGATTACAATCAGTTAATTTGACTTGAGCCTGCGATTCAATCGAAAACCAGTACCTGAGCAACGCTCAACTTCAAAAAGAAAACCACGTGACATCGATGGGCTCTAGACTGGAGCCTGCGATATGGTCACGTGATACTGGTCGATTTGACAGGTGTCAATAGGCGATTTGCAGGATGGCGTCATTTGACTATAACTACCAGAATCCTTCACTTTTTCTGTCTCTTACGCTAATTAGGGCAATTGCTATTTAAACCCCACTGGGAATTCAAAATTTAAACAATAAAGAAAAAACGAAAGGAATTCTGGTAGTTGTAGTCAAATGACGACAACGTGCAAATCTGCTATTGACCATAACATGGATGTTCAATATCAAAGATGTACGCTGTAAACCAAAGTTGCATGTACCGGTCTCGGAGCTCTACTATATATCAGTCAACATAAGGAGACAGGAGGCAAAGTCCACGATAACCTGCAACCCTTAACTTTGGGCCCAAAAGCGATCAAAATGTCTTTCATCGACCAGAGTGCAAAATCTATAGGTACCTCCAAATTTCTTCCTATTAACATTAAATCGACAACCGAGGTCATTTGGTTAGGGTTTGATAAAGGGATCTTTTCAAAGAACCAACCTGGTTTTGGCTTGCTCGCTGGCGATTTAACCGGAGTGGCAGGTACAGGATCATCGTGCGACTCGGACATGGACCGAAATAACGAAAGCTTGCGAAGCCCTGCCGGAGTCGGGACTGGTACTTCTTTCTCGTTAAGGGACGCAGATCTAAAAAAAGACAAAACAAAACCACATAAGTCTCGAACTAACGAGAAACGTTCAGATTTCGTCCGGCTCAATCTGAAGAAAAATGTTCACCAAATTACAAGCAATAACAGTGACAACATGTACAGTTGGCAACGTTTTGCATAGTTTAACTTTATGTTCCAGCATTTTACTGCTGGTATTTGTGATTATTGTTCAACAAATAGGCCATTTCCGAATTACCTTAAGCCTCTTCCTCAAAGCGAGTCCCGGTGCCCATCCTTTCATATCAAATGGTTGTGCACCAGGCCTCGCTTTGATGGAGAGGCTTAGGTCAACTCGGAAAAGGGCTATTGCAACGATGCCTGTATGTGGTCTGGTCGTCCTTATGGTCATCCGTCCATAGCAGATGCCTTGTGATAAAAGCAGTTTGCTATATTTGGATTTGTCCTCAAAGAGAGGCATCTTGGAAAATTCCAAGTAAGGAAACCACCGTTGTGTATTTCCCGTAAATAGGGGACGCATTTTGAAAAATGAGCCGAATTGTTCAAGTTTGTTGTTTGGAACCTGTCTAGCGTAACGCAGTTAATTATTTCTACATATGTGGCTTTTTCACAGAAATGTTTCATCACATTTTACCTTCTTTTCGAATCCTCGCCCGTACTAGGAGAGGGCACTTCAGGGCTCATTTCTGATCCCGTCGCTGAGGTCTTTGTTGCGTACGAGCCCTCTTTTCCTAAGAACAACCGCTGGACAAGTCCTCTCTTGTACCACGCTTTCGGAAAGTCCAAGATCTCGTTCAGACGTCGCATGTCGTAGTTGAAGGTTGCCGAGCCGATGTCACAGATGCCTAGGCAAAAATCAAGGAAAAAATTTGTACTGAAGGTAAAATCGTTAACAATATCATAATCTGCAGCTGGACAAAGTTCTAGCGATTGTACACCGCGAGTAGTCCCTCTTTCGCTTAGTCCGCGCGAAATCCTGGGAGCGGTAAAGCACGCGCGTGCTTTTCTTTCGCTTCATACACGACGGACTAAGCGAAAGAGAGACTACCCGTAGTCTAAGCGATTGAGGTTCTGACGGTAAATTCAGACGGTTCACTATGTACGAGCCTCACCGAATCACAGCAAGTGCTTTTCATCTCGATCCTGAAAAGAGAATGTTGAAGGAAAATCATTTGGAACGATCGTGCTTACCAGAAACTTTGACAACAGTTGATGACCCAGTCCCCGTCCCGGCCAGAAGATCAGGCGATGGCGTCCTCGTTTTATCTTCCGTCACGCCACCCGCAGAACCAACTCGTCTGCGTGACAGATTGAACTTCACGAACTCTACGTTCAAGCTTAACGAGTCTTTCTTCCCTGACAAGGGCTGAGAGGAGGCAAAGCGAAATCGAGGGCGGTTGTCTTCGGGGTTTTCTTCCTGATCTGGAGATGTGTTGCTGGGGGAGCGGCCCAAGCCTGTGTGCTGCTTCCCGTAAGGATGGAAGATACAGAACGAAAAGCGCGAGAGACAAACGGTGAAGCTGATTCCGCCGCTGTCAAAAGTCAGCGAGGACGGAGTCAGGGTGGTGTCTAGCTGGTCCATTCGGAGGAAGGAGTAGTCCCGAGAAGAGAGACGAGATGAAGGAGTCTGCACCAATGACTTGTTTGGGCTGGAGTTGGACGAAAAGACCACATCTAAAGCGGGAAGCCGTAGCATACACTCCACCCGAGACACAGGTAGGCAGCTGAAGCGAATATCAGACGGCTGCACTCGGATCACCACCACCACATCCACCGGGAACGAAGAATGCTCCGACATGGAAGATGACACGACGGAACCTCCTACCTCGCCTTCTGTGTCGCTGTCCTCACCCGAAGCTATTCCCCCGCCGTCCACCACCTCGTCTTCGCCTGGCACGCTGATTGGTTGAAGCGCTTGTTCTATGAAATCCAACAAACGTGGCTTTAAGACCATTTCCTGTGGCAATGCCTGGAACAACACCCACACGTACAGCCCTGCTTTTTTGACGACTTTCCTGTGACAGGTATTGCTAGAGTTTAAATTATCCATGCCTGGCGTTCCCTGATCCGGCGTCTCGGGGTAAACGGTATTTGAAGACTCGCTATCCGTGGGGCCATCTTCCGCCCTTACTGTAGGAGTAGCCCCGCTCTGCACCGGGGGTGTCCCAGGGGGTCCAACGTTTTCAGAGTCGATGTTAGAGTGGTAGTTTACCCGGACATCCACAGCAGGCAGCAGTATCTTAGTGTCCTCGGGTTGAGAGGGTTTTTCTTGTGTGCTTTGTTTCTGTCGCTTCGGGCCCAGAGTAGTTTGAAACACAGGAGATGATAGTTTACCTCGAGTTGGATCAAATAACTGGAGGCGCTTGCCAGTGTTTCTGAATGGAAAAACAAAAGGTGTTACGATTTTTGCGTTGTGTTTAGCGTTTTTGTTTACAGTACACGAAACGGTAAAGCAGTCATTCGAGTCGTCAACAGCTCTTATCAGTGGCAGGAGGGACAATTTTATTCGCTGTAGAGTATTTTTGCTTTTTGACAAGTAAAGGCTGAGAAGGAGATTAGAGGTTTAACCATAGCACACCGACGAATGAAAGAGAAATCAGACAATCGAGTAATAACATAAAGTATAGGACCGAAACACATTCAAAGATCATTCGAAATGGTTAACGTTTCCCAGAACGTTTAAAATACGTCTCGTTAAAGAAGCTCACTGTTTGCGCATCTTGAAAACTTTAGCCTACATTTTCCAGGTTCCTCATTCGTAACCCGTGTTAATCTTCTTCATCATTAACCATCCTTGTTTCTTTATGGTTTATTATTATATCTTTGGTGTTTTTCTATCTTAGTAAACTATTATTTTCAGGTTTCCTTCAATTTAAAGGTAATTTTATACGCGGCCAAAATACTTTGATTGAGCTCCTCTAAGTGTTGTCAGTTTCAGCCTTTAGCTTCGGCTGACAACAATGATAACTTAATTATCCACGATATTTCAAAAAAATCTCCTTATTATTACTAACTTGGAGTCTGCATTTTCCTCCTTTTCTCCTTCATCTGCGGGATAAAACACGCACTTTCCGCTGTCAATAACAACAGCCACGTCCAACTCAAAATCAAGATTCTGTTGCTGCTGTTGTTGTTGTTGCTGCTGCTGTTGCATAGCAATGGACTTTTGAGACGCGCCGCTGTCATAATCGGACTCACTAGCGGTCCTGAAGGTCACTCTTGGTCCTGTCGTACCCTCCCCTTCCTGGTGCGACGGACTGCGTAACGGCAACGGGTCTTCGTGATTCACTTTACTGGCGCTGATTCCGACGTTTAAGATATCTGGCAGGGACGGTGAACGTTTACCAAAAATTGCATTCCCCGTGCGGTCTTCGCATATAATCACTGGAGCATCACTTGTTAAATGTTTCCTTGATTTTTGCGGCGTCGATGAATTAGAACCCATCTCTACCATTTCACTCTCCATCTCCTCCACATCACTGCTCGCTTGGCGTCGTACTCGAGAGCGCGTCCTGGATCCGTGGATTTTCTCTGACATGGCCTTCTTGCGGTGCAGATTGGCTCGGTCCGACTCCGTTATCTTCGGCAGTCCCGATCGGCCAGATCGAGAATGCCGCCGAAGTTTTTTGCGGACATCTTTACGAAATTCGTTAAAGACCGCGCTCTCCAAATCTTGAAGCCGTCTTGTTTCTTGTTCCATGATGTACGATTCTACTGCGGTTTTCCTCCTGCAAAAATAAATAAATAAATAAATAAAAACAAATTCTAAAAAAATGTATCAAATTGTAGCCAATATTCAGCGATTATATCAGCTTCGTGCTGAATTCCCTTGGCGATCGTTGATTTCGGGAAAAGATTCTGAAATATTGGCAAAATGTTTGGATAATCCGAAAATCTCAGGGAATTGCCAGAAAAAAAAAACTCGAAAAATTTAATATAAATCAGTGTATTTAAATTGGTACAAGAAATCGTACAAATGCGAGGGCAATTAAGGATTTACACTACGAGTAACATTTGAAAATTCTCTCAAATTTGTGAAATTTGAAAAACTTTAAACTTTGCAAATATCACGAGTAGTGTCAATCCTTTAAGTGCTCGACCTTTCATGCAGAGTGCAGAGAAAAAACTAATGATAAATTTACCTGCTCGTAGCCTATCCCAATAACGTAATTTTCTAAGTCATAAAGTATTAAATACTGTTTATTATTTAATGTCACCGAACGATTGTTCGGCGACAGACTGACAATTCAAGTCGTGTTGCAGACTCCATCCCGACAAATGCCTTATACAACAACCACAAATCAAAACAAAAGTAAACAAAATTAAAAAAAAAAAAAGAACCTAGAAAAGGCAACTAATCTGCTCCTCACCTAAGCTCATTGACTTTACGAGCCTGTTCCCACATGGTCTTCTCGATATTTTTGGATTTACGCCTATCTAAAGCCCCAGCCATGTTGTCCACTTCATCTCGGCCTGTGGCATCAGTTTCCAGGCTGGGGTCTCTGTCCTGTGCTTCCGTCACCGAGTCAATGTTAGCTACATCCGGCTCACCAGCCAGTGCGGTTAGCGTCTGCGCCAATGATGACAGATGTTTTCCAATGCTGGTGTCACAATGTAACTCGATACCGCACATGCGCCATTGAAACGACATCACCCACTTTCCTGCTTTTATCATGTCTGATGAAGTCATAAATAACAGTATTATATGGCTTATTCTTGTCGCCGATATAACGCGCGCTCTGATTGGCTAATTGTAGTGTGTTATTCTCCCTTAATGCCCACGGGCCGATTATGGGCTTACAAAAACAAAGCAAAAAGCCATATAATAAACAACTTATTCACGTTCGTTCGGTCTTTCCGGGAAAATCTCAAGCCTCGACCTTGCCGTATTGACCTCGCTATCGCTCGATCAGCACGGCAAGGTGCGAAATTTTCCCGTAAAGACCTCACTTTTGATTAATAAGTAGTTAATGATAAAAAAGTAACCTTTTATATAGAGCTAATATCATAAACACATTCAAAAGCACTTTAAATTAAATCAACTGACTTACTAGAGCTAAAACTAAGCCCAATACAAACACCAAAAGGGTTAAAAAGGTGGTAAAATGGTGAGTAAAACTAAGACCTACTAGAACTATAAAATGTCATGAACGATTCTAAAAAGACATGTCTTTAATCCGTTTTTTTCTTTTTTGTCATTCTAAAGTAGAGTTTGATCCTGTAGACAAGGGTAGATTGTTCCAATAAATGGACCTGAGGCAGCAAAGGTGGGATGTGGGAGAAAAACGAGAGCTTTTTAGACTGCAAATAATGTGTGGCAGGGCAGCCCTAAATGACAGTCGGTCAGTTGGTCGATCAGTCAAAGTCCACAATCTCAAAGTAAATAAAAATGCTCAAGTCACAAAAAAAATAATCAAGAAGGAACAAAAAATCACCTTACACGAGAAAGATGGAAACTCAGACATCCCGAGATAACATAGAACAAAGAAATATCCGAGTCCCCGACGGAAATGAAATCAAGGGCCTCTCGCACATCCATTGGAAGTTCTAACCACTGAGCTACAGGAGACTAGTGACGAGCTAAGTGTTTTACTAACGAAAGAAAAAAGGTCTGCTATGTCACAGGCCAACCAGCAAAGTTTGACATCTCACCTGCTGACAAAGGGTACCTTTGTGTTCTTGAGCATAGCTCGTATGTTCCCTCTGGAACAACACCTTCAAGTGACAAGAAAAAATGATCAACGAAGTACTTTAATTAAAAATAAACTAAACTAAAATAACATAATGAAAACCACTGTTTTCCTTCGAATGTCGAAAGGTGCACCTGAACAGTAGGTAAAGCTGCCCCAAGGCAGGCAAACCTAGCCCAAATAGCCTGAGCTCATTCTCATTCTCACTCATTCTCTTATGTTAGTTTATGACAGGTCCCTCTCTTTCGGGTTGCCCCGCCAATTCGCCCCTGCCCACATAGTTCTATCCTCAAAAAACAAAAAATGTTCAAATGTTGTTTATAGTGGTCAATGCGCTTAGCTAGTTCACAGGCATGCCACTTTAAATGAAGGAAACAAATATATCAACTAAACGTAATAGGCTTAAAAATCCCAGCCGGCGGGAGGAAGACCAGTTGGCTATTTACAAGCGTGACCGAGGAGTTGAACTAGGGTCTACCGTGAAACAACTCCAGCTACGTGGTCAGAGCGGGACTTGAACTCGCGACCTCCGGATTTCAAGTCCGGAGCCCTAACCACTCGGCCACGCTACCTCCTCAAAAGGTGGAGAGAGGCACTGAGAGGGTAAATGTCTTGTCCAAGAACACAACACAGTGTCCGCCATATATACCAGGGCTCAAACTCGGAATGATTGATCCGAAGTCCAGCGCATTAATCATAATTCAGTAATAATTGATCATTAATCGTAATTCATTAGCTCGCCATGAACCTCGTACACCTAAACAATATTATAACATAACTAAAGCAAAGCGCGCGCTCTGATTGGTTAATTTAGCGTCT